CAAAGGTTTGCTGCAAGCTTTCGCCTTTCTGGATCCTTGGGTGTTTTGGAGCGGTTTGACCGGAAAAGTGTCTCTTTGAGGCCTAGTTCGTTTTCCGATAGATCTCTTTTAAGTTACGGAGTGTATTTCACCCTTAAGGTAGAGGTGGCTGACGCAGACTAACGGGTGAGGAGAGTTAGCTTGTTGGCTTACCTGGTCGTCCCGTAAACCGGCGCATTGTAAGTGCCAGAGGCCCTGCAAGCGTGACATTGCATACTACATCTAACTTTCGACGGACACCCATTTCGCCCACATCTGTTTTGGTCCACCGATGGCTGCAGAGAGCAGCCTGTATCGATTTGGGTCATAATTGAGCTTGGGTGCACCTCATTGACTTAGTACAAACTAACAGATTCAAGCTGACGGATGATGTGTTAAAGTGAAAAATTCAACAAATGGCAGAAATTAGCACGACGGAAAAACGGAATCAATTTGTTTACCACCTACATCATGGGGTATTGAATAATATCTCCTCGAAGTCCACGGTTGGCAACGAGCAGCTTTTCACACTATTTACACTTAATCTGTGCAGTTCCTCAATCCAGTATCCGGATCTCTCGGCTTCCTATTCTCGCACACCTTTAAAAATACCGTTTAGGCAGTGACCGCTCGCCCAGCACAATCAGTTGGTGGAAACAAACTTTTTGACGTTTACGGCTGGTTTACCTGGAATTCCGCACCAACTTCGAGTTGAACTGAATTTACGAGCTGCGGGCCTCAAAATTCACGAGCTGATTGTTTAAACGAATCATCTTGCTATTGTGTCAATTATTGCGGTAATATAAAGTTTTTTAGAGTAGGCGTGAGTCCGTCAGTTAGGGTTTTTGTGATCTGTGCAAAACGTGGAGGAGATATGGGTTGTATTGTGTCCAGAAATAGTGCCAAAGTAGCCGAAAACAATCACACACAAGACAAAGAGGAGAACCTAGAGAACCTAGAAACGGATGGAAAAACTTACGTTGTCTTCGACATTAAACCCGACAGCTGTGCCACTTCTGGAGATTATCATGAACCAAGTAGTACATCCGAAAAAGCCGAACAGAGAAGACCAGCTGTATGTTGTATCTTGTGGTTACTCCAGATGATTCCAGAGGCTAGCTCCCATACCTAATCCTCCGATTCTGACTACTGAAATGATTGAGGAGAAACTGAGAAGGGCTGAAGAAAAGAGAGAAAGAGTGAGTACAGTTCAGCAGATGATGCTTGTTTCTTTGCTATTGTGTGGATGAACACATTGACTGTGAATCTCACATCTTTGTCAGTAAAATGAAATTATGCTCAGTTGTACGTCATATACTAAGCAGAATTTGTGGCTTGGGTGAACGTAGCATGTAGGCCTCTTTCTCACGTATTATTGAGAATCTTGAAATACTCGTATTATGCTACTGTTTTTTGGCTTTCAGTACTGAGTCAGTGAATTCGATGGAGTGTCCAGTTTGAAACACTCACAAACTTAAATTATTTTCAGATTTCGACCTTGAATTTTTCAGTCTTTTTTCGTTGCGTCAGACAACGGTAAATTCCGGAGGGTCATATTTCGCCAAGATTTTTTGTGTGTCAGCATACCCTGCCAATGTTTATGCTCTGTTAGTCGACGACCTCACCTGGCACTGTCCATGAGTAAACGACAATCACAAAGTTCTCAGTCCCCACTGCATCTCTATTTTTGCTCTTTTTCGGGAATTAGATATTGCTGTATATACATATATGTAATAGTCCAAGATGCCCTACTTGCTCTGCCATTTGGTAAAATACATAGCAGCCTTTCGTGTGATTTGGTTAGCCGGCCGCAATCTTCCAGCAGTTTGTGGTGATGTCGCTATTCGTTATGATCTCGGCAGC